CTCAGTCAGGAACTCATCGTATGAGCCGCGGTCACCAAGCTGCTCATCCAGTTGCAAATCGAAGGAAGGTTCCCAGCTCAATTGCTCGGAGTCGAAGGTGGACGCGAGGTCCAACAGATATTCCTCATGGCGGCCAAGTACGGCATCTTGCCAATCATCATTGCCAAACCTGATCCTCTGCTGTGAGAAGTCGATCGTCATGTCGAGCGCCTTGATCACAGGGCGTCCAACCAACATAGGCGTTTCGCCAGACAGAACAAATCCTTGGATCAGGCCGTGTTGTCCATTCAAATAGACTGGGACTTTGACCGTCCATGAGCTGACCTTTTGATGGTCACCGCCAAAGTGGAAGGTTCGTTGGCATCGATGGAGCTGCAATTATGAGATGTCATAGCCGAGCTGCTGGATGTGGTTGACATAGCGAGCTAGAGGCTTTGACCCCATCAAAAACGAAGAAGCTCCAGGGTCCAACATAGCGCAATCAGGTCGTTCATGGCCTGCAGCATCTTCCAACATAACCAGTGAGGTCTCGTCGGTCAGGATGGCCATGCTTTCCACTGCTTGGCGTTTGCCTGAAGAGGTAGTTGATGGCTTCGGAGTTGCTTGCTGAGTGCATTGCGCTGTCTTGTGAGAGGTTGATCCACAACGCATGCAAGCGGCAGCCAAGGCAGCGCGACCTCTTCCTTTTGGATCTGACTGACTGTTTGGCAGGAGCTTTGTCGTATCGATAGGTGGAGCTCTTGCCCTTTCCTTTTCCTTTTTCTTTCTTCCCTTTTCCCAAGCCCTTGAAGGGCCTTTGTGAAGGCGTAGAGCTCGAGGATGGTGCGTCTTGCAATGCAACCACTGGAAGGAAACCTCTGCTCAGCTTGAGGTCGTTGAAGCGCTTTCGAGCATCAACATATGAGGCATATGCTTCATCATATTCACCAGGGTCGAACTCGAACTCCTGCTCCTCATAGTCCTCCTGGTAGTAGGCAGCATCTGAATCGAACGTTTCCCACCAGGTGTCGTCCATGGTTTCTTCTTCGTTCATGTAGTAGGCGTCGTCCTCCTCATAGTAGGTGTCTTCTTCGCCCCATTCTGCTGCGCTGCGCTTTCATCGTCGCCGGCGAAATAGGACCGGCCCTTTCCAGAGTTGGGGCGATTCCATCGATCTCGAAGAAGATTTCCTCCTCCCTTGTAGTCCTGACCCAGGATGGCGAACATTGCTTGCTGAACTTTTGGACGTTCCAAAGAGGCAGCTTGTGTCATGATCATCTGCCGTTGTTCGCGGGTCAGTGAAGCTTTTGCCAAAAGAAACCATCCTTGAACTTGAGTTGGAAGGCGAACTCCATGTTTCTCAATCTGCTTCAACCGGTCGTCGTGTTCGGTCACGAAACTCAGCAGGGTCTGACCGGGTTTGCGGGCAAGGTTCTCGAAGTAGCTCGAGAAATCTGCCGGCATCTCCACGTTGGAGTCATACTGAAAGGAGCGTCAAGGATGTTCAGGATCTCAGTCAGGGCCTCAGGATCCTCCGCTTTGTCGATGTTGAAATCTTCGCAAAGCTTCCAAGCTGTGCCGGACAGACTGCCCAGCAAGTTCAGTATGGCCTCTCCTTGTCTCTTGGACAAGGACATTTTCTTGTAGTAGATGGTGATTCTTTTCCTCCATTCCCGATATCCCGTTAGGGATCCATCGAAGAGCGGGATGAAACTGTCTCGAGCTGAATGATTGTCAAGCTCGACTTTCTTTTCTGATGACATACTCAGCCAAGTAGGTGAGGTAGAAGGTGTTCACCAGCTAGGCCAAGCTCAGAGGGGTAGCGCTCAACAAGGAGGTAGAGCTCGTCAAGAAGCACTGCTCCTGAGCGTGAAGAAGAAGCTAAAGGTGTGGTAGAAGTTTCCGAGGAGGTTGGAGTGAACCTGGAAGGTGTGGAGGTTGTAGTTGTAGTGCGGAGTGGCAGGGAGCGGTCCGAGGATGACCGCTCCGCTACCAATGTCACTTGGACAGAGGTAGCAAAGCTAGGTAGCCCAAGTGGAATCCAGGGACAGACGAAGTTCTCTGGAAAACGAAGTAGCGGACACAGCTCACAAGGTCGGTGCCCTCTTTTACGCCATTGCTCAAAGTGCGCTGTCAGCTCCCACCGCTACAGGTGGTTCAGGGCCATATGGCCAAGGTGGTAGAACTCATGAAACAACATGAAACAACCAGATGGACATCTCATGTCCGTGGCTTGAGTGCACAACTGAAACTCACACTTAATTATTTCCTAAGTACTTTTTGTTTGCCTGTTTTATTTTTCTTGATCCTTACAATTTGCTTTTTAGTTGATCCCGCTCTCCCTGCGGCTACGCACCTGCCAGAAGCAAGGCTTGAGCGCCACATTCCTCTGCTTGGTCCAAAGCGTCGTGTACCTCCACAAGCGTCGTAGGGTTAGTCGCTCTGTGCTCCAAAAGCTGAGGCTGTTTTTGACTTTCAAGCAGCCGTCGGTCTAGCCGGTAGCCTGCAAAAGCTGAGGAAACAAAACAGCCTGCCGGCGGCCTGCCTGCTTGATGAGGGATGGATTGAGGCGATGCTCCCACACCCGGGTGCCCCAGGAAAACTGACCTTCCGGTGAGAGAAAGCGGACCTGAGTGACATGCACTTCTTGCAAACGAAATATCATTGAGCTTCCGGGATAGAAATGACATGACATGATGCAGACTGTTGATAAATAACCCCCCCATATGAAGAGGTTGTTCATCCAGATGGGGTGTGTTTTTTCATGTTTAGCCATCAAGAGATTACATTTATGCCATACCAGCACACACATTTCACGAAAATACCAGCCAAACCGCGTCCGTCGCAACACTCGGTGCAGTGATGCGCTGGGCCACCCAACCACTGCCACGTGGTCAACCATTTGTGTACTCAGCAAGCTCATGCTGTCTCCTGACGAACTCGAGCCCAGTGGTGGGCCCCATCAGTGTGATATCTATCATGTTCTGTCTGCAAATCTCTCAGGGCGCCACTCACTGAGGAGAAGCACCGAAGAGAAGTTCCTGCGGATCTGTGACAACCACAAGATACCACGAGCATCAAGTCGTCCACATCATCAAGTCGTCAACGTAGCACCTAGGTGTCTGCGCCATGTGGAAGTCAAGCGCGAAGTCGCCATCCGTGTCTGCAACAGTTCTTTGACAGTGGACACTACAGCACAGGTGTTGCTTTAAAGAAAAGTATGACATCTTACACCTAATTACTTGCGGCTCCCAGCATCGTGCTTCCTTGCAAGCAAAGTGGCTTTCGAGAAAATCTAACGTCATTGAGAAGATCTATATAAGAAGCGGCTCAAGGGGCCATCGTTTAACATCAATCCCAAGCCAGCTCTGAAATGAAGCTTCCTTGCACAATCCCGGCCACCGAGCCTGTACCAATGCCATCCGCAAACCGGGCTATGGCGAGCTTGAGCTGCAAACTTTGCAAGCATTTACGCTGCTGACTTGCAAAATGTTTCGCCGCCGGGCATACCCAGCCCACCAAGTACCGAAACCCATGAAATGATTCTCCATACTCCAGCCCGTACGGTATCTGATGTAACTCGTGGAAATGAACACAGCAGCTTGATACAGCCACATGACTCTGAGGTCTGGTTTCCCCCAAGCCATTTGGAGGCGACGGATTCTTAACCTCAGTCTCATATCACATTATTCATGTCATATCAGATCGCAGCACGGTGTCCAAGACATGTTTACATGGATTTATAAAACGACGTCTTTTTGGGGGGGGCTCCTATCTGGTCCTATCTCACAAGTCCGACGGTCATCGCGGACCCAAACTGGCCTTCGAGTGTCACAGTCTCCGCACCTAGGAAGCTGGATGAAAAGCGTTGCTTTGGAGTGTGGATGATAACTTCACACCTTCGTGAGGATTTCACCAAACACATGCAACTGTACTTAGCCACCACCCGACCCCAGTGTTGCCTCACGACCAACAAACGCTCCAGGCCGGTCGCTGAGGCATTGGCGGCCTTGACCATCACAGCCGTTGTGAGGTGCGGCATGAACTCGTTGTTGCTGTCCAAAGGTGAGCCTTGTATGCCTCATCATGCCTTCATATGACCTTCCATTATCTTCCATTTGCATGATATCATGCACTGACCACAAATGCTGCGGAATTTGCTGCTATGGCAAATCTTGGAAGCACGACGACGTGGAATTGGAAAAGCATCACCAACTCAACCAAAGAAACCTTCCTGGAGCCCAGTCACACAGGCCGATCACTGTTTTCTTTCTGCTAGAGGAGGCTGTTGTTGTGACTTGCATTTATCCAAATTAGTGCTGCAGTATGCATCCGAATTTGGGTTTTTGAACAAATCGACAAGTCCTTGAATTTCTGCACATGATGAGCACGAATGGCTCCAAAAAAACAAGCATTCAGTTGACCGCATACGCCAGGTTGTCGCTGAACGGACCTGGTGGCTCTGTGTTGACATCTCTTCTCACCCAAACACCTATTACCCTGCTTTGCTCGAGCCTCTTGATTAACAAATATATACCAACCTCAAAAGTTCTGACTGCCATGATGCGCCCAAGAAAAAAGGCACAACCTGTCCTTCCTATACAAAGGCATCAGCAACAAAGCGACAATTATCAGCCAAAATGAACAAAAAGTGGACCCTTTGGCAGTTAAACATGCAATACTGTGACTTGGCTTTGTAGAAAGTCATTTCAGCCAACACTTACACATTTACTTGACTGGCAAAGCAGTGTTACAGTTGAATCAGAAGCGTGGACATCATGTTGAATCAGAAGTGCCAGCCGCACAATGGTCTTCCAATGTGAGCAACTAACATACGAGGACCTTCCAAAGGTCTGTGCTCATGAGATCAAAGCCCTCGAAATGTGTAACATGGACCCCACTGGGTGTAGAGGATGCTAGCCGGAACAGAATCTTCCTGACAAGTGGCGAAGTGTGATTCGGTGGCGTCCTCAAAATTCCCTCAAACATGGGCATCACGAGGCTGCTACTGAGATCCAGGCTTACTCCAGCTCTTGCTCCTTGCATTCTTCTCTCTGCCCATAACCTGAGCATCAGGAGCTAGGACAAACAGTCATTTAGACATATTTGGAAAAGGTGCCTCGGAGTGTGAGCTGCAAGCAATTAGCGATGCCAAAGAGTCAATATTTGGTCACAATGGAATCGATCGTGGTTCGAGATGGTTGGCAGGGCCGAACAAGACCACCAACTCGTACAAACTGTTCTTGTTCAGGATCGATAATCCAACGCCCACTTTGTGGAAGAGCATGGAATAGTGAACATATGAAACATCGACTTCCTGAAGTCACCTGACACGTTTCTACCGAGTTCTAGGGCAAGCACAAATCACCTGCCCCTCAGCAAGCTCCACGTCGTCATCGTCACAGGTGATCTCAGCTCCGTAGCATGGGGGACACATTGAATGAAAAACTCCGGACATGGAGAAACACGGGTGAAGCACTCTTCAGTGGCTTGAGCTTCCAGGGCTTACAGGGATGAGTGAGATTACTGTAGGGAGCCCTGGCCCTCCCGGCCCTTGGGATCCAAAGGCTGTCACCACTGGCTGGTAGCCCGACCGGAGGAGCAACTGAGATGCTCACAGAGGTGGGAGCAACTGGCAGCGGACCAAGCTCAGCATTAGCACCTGTCAGGTGCCAGTGCTGTCTCATAGTGAGCACTCTCCACACATCAAGAGCACTGCTGCTTTTGACCTATCAAAGGCCCACCATAAGCCTACAACATGACTGGGCTACAGCTCATCACTGAACCTACATCACTGGGCGCCACCGAATGTCCTCTCTCGCCCCCTCCGTCGACGCCGTCCACACCGACCCGCGTTGACAGGCCGTCGACGCCGACCCCGCCGCGGGAAATCGACGCCGTTCGGCCTTGCGGAGTTCGATGGTTTGCGGCAATGATCTCTCGCCTCGGAGTGGATCGAAAGGTCGCATCGAAAACGATCAGTGACATCACCCAAAGTGAAGGAACGAAAACGATCATAACCTCAGGGGAGCACCACGTCCCCTGCTCCTGTTTTTGTCTTTTTGTGCGTGTGTGGGCTCTTTCTTATGTCTTTTGTAAACCCTATCCGCCGTCTTTAGTCAAAAGAAATGTGTTCATGAACGCTGATGTGAACACATGCACTTTGCTGTCCCTTGGCTGTTCCCACACAACTAAAATCCAAGACACAAAGAAAGAAAGAAAGAAAGAAAGCAAGAGATAGAGAGAGAGAGAGAGAGAAGGAGAGAAACAAGAAGCACGGGTGCAAGCACCCATTCCTTTCCAGTGGAAAGGCATGGGAAGCCAGGCCCTCTGCGCGGTCCCAACAGGGTCGCCGCTCTAGTTAAGACCCAGGCAACCGGTGCAGCAACGCGGCAAAGTTGCCACCTTCGACGCCTGAAACACAGCCAAGTGGGGCCTACGATGATCAAATTACATGTGATCAGGACTCTCATGAATGGCAACGATCAACCAAATAGGAATGGACCAGGGGACTGATTAGATTAGGAACAAGCATGGACTGAGTAATACTGAGTACATTTGTGACATACTGTGACCTACCACGAAGTGTTGGCTGAATGCGACGGCGATATAGTATATAATAGTAGATATATAATATATCTCAATCGCAATGGTGGCAACCGAAGTCCACAAAGCGTCCAAGCAACAAAGTAAAGCGCACCTTTATGGCTGCAAGTGTCGAGGTCGTAACGCGGTCGGTTCAAGGGCCCTTCGGACAAAGATGCGACGGAAGTCGCTCAACTGGAAAACATGACACCTCATGACAGGTGTACAGCAAAATGCATTCGCATGTTGACATAGGCCAAAGCTTTTTATGGCCATCGAAAAACATTCAAAATTCAAGCCCTCATGACCGATTTAGGTCACTTCGAAATTCCCATGCTCCGCAGGCATGGTCAGGAAGGACGGTGGCTGTCCTTGTAGGCAAGGTGGTTTCTCCATCAAAACTCAACTTCGTTTGGACCATCTTGTCCTTGATCTCACCTTTCTCATTCAGGAACTGAAGGCGGTTGATCCTCTCCAGGGATTCAATGCGAGCCCTCTGCCTCACAATGCGCTGATTGCAATCAGCAAGGAAGCAGATGTTGTCATTCCACATCCGGTGCCATTGGCGCACCTGGTCATCCGAGAAGCCTTGAGTTCGATCTGTTTTCAAAAGCTCTCGGAATTTCCGCCAGCGCTGGGTCGTGTAGCCCTCAGTGGTCAGGATGAGGCGTGTTTGATCATCCAAGGCGCTGTTCGCATCATTCAAATCTCTCAACAATTTCCTCCAATCGCTGGAGCTGGGTTCATCTTCAACTTCTTTGAGAAGCCTTTTCCATCGGTTGTACTCCTCATCTTCAAGCTCGCTGTCAGAGTTGCAAGTCGAACTGCCGGTGTCGATGCCCGGTCTGTAGTCGATACCTGGTCGCCTAGAGAGGGCCAGGATTTGCTCCATCACCTCTTCACGATGTTGAGGCAAGGTGCAAGTTCGGTCATTGGTCTCGACCGTTTCTTCTTTTTCATTCACTTCATTCTTCTTCCACAGAATCATTGCCTTCTCGAGGAAGAGATTGTAGATCTTGTAGGTCATGTGCTCCAGGCCAATGCACGCAAAGAAAACCAAAACACCAACAGTGAGCCAAAAGCGAGTGCCCAGGTAGGACTCAGGGATGTGCTCATCGTTCTCGGTGGGGCTTCCTTCAACAACTGGCATTTCATTCGCAATCAAACAAGTCATAGCCGACATGGCTGCCGTTCTCCAAGCATCATGCCTTTGACCTTGTCGATGGGCATGGAGGTAGAAGTGGCGCCTGGAGCAGAACTTGTTCTTTGGATTGGAGGCATCACATGTTTTCTCACAACCAGGGAGGGCGCAAAGGTTGCCATCTTTCTCTTCAAGCGTGAAGATCTGGTTTTCGAAGATGTTTTTCGATGCCTCTTCATGTTCTTTTCTTTCAGCTTCTTTCTCCTGGCGGCGATGAAGTCCGGCTCAAAGCTCAGCTTGTGAGTTCCTCGGTTCAAGACATAGGCCAGGTTGTCTTTTGCTGCCGGCTTTGTCAAACCATCTGCTATTTGTTGCTGTGAGTTCACCCAAAACCATCGTCCATCAAGAGCTGACATTCGATCCTTCACTATCGCAACTTCGATTGCAGTGCGGCGTTCACTCAACTTCATGCCCGGGGTGATGCTTCGAGCAGCGTCAAACAAGGATCGAGCATCAGTGGCAAGTGGAGACGTGCCAAACTTCCTGAGGGCCTCAGTTGAACCAATGTCCAAGGTGGGGTCCACAACGCAAGCCATGAAGATCTTACTCCATTCAAGCTCGTCAACAGCTGCTGCGGCGGCCTGGGCTTCAGCAGACAAGGAAGACCTGCAAATGCGCTGCAACTTCTTGGACTGCCACTGGAGTATTGTCAGCGGCATTGGTTTCTCTGAGCTCAACTCTTCATGATTGCACAGGAAGACCAGCAGACCTCCCTGTGACGTTCCGTCAGGGCGAACTGCCCATGCAGCATCTGTGTATGCACCAATGCACAACGAAGAGATGCCGCCGTGGGCGTGGAAGGTCATCTTGTAGTCCTTGGTCACATTCTTTGCAAATCTCAACAGCTTGTTGGCCTCATTGATGTCCTTGATCATGGGGCTGCTGGATGCTGACTGCAAGATGCTGACACTGGCACACAGTTGTGGTACACATTGATGAGCTGGCCAGGCAAGTGCTCCTAGCAGTGCACGAAGTTGTTTGTGCTCTCTGTCAGTGCAAGCATCGTTGACCATGGTTTTCCGTGACTTCTCCAAGCAAATCGGCTTCACCTTCTGACAGTATTGCTCGAGGGAAATCTGGATGGTTTCGTGGTTCAAACTCTGGACCACATCGGCTCCACAGAACTTCACTCCCAAACTCGAGCCAAAATCCCAACTGCCAAACTTGAATCGCCAAGAAAGTTTTTGAAGGCGGCCAGCAAAGGTGTTCTCATCATATTCGAACTCACCTGTGATGTCATTCAAAGTCGTGACACCTTCTCCAGCACCGATAAAGTCGTCCACGTGGAGGCCTAAAATGCCATCAACAATGCAATGCGTTCCATTGTATTCGAAGACGCAGAAGGGGTCATCACCATCGGCAGCTTGTCGCAAAGAAAGATACACACATCGGTCGAGTGGGTGTGCAATCAAGTTCAACTCATGCAACAAGTACTCGTTTGCGGTATTGTTCCATTGCCGTGGTGCACGAACATCTCCAAAAGCTGGTTTACAGGCTTTCATGATCTGCCATGGCTTGAGGTCAATCTTTTTTCTCGAGCAAGCGACGCATGTCAGCTGAAGGTCGGATGTAGATTCTCGTGGTTGCATCAATGCTATCCGCCTGCATGAAGGCTGACTTCACATCGGCTGACCAAAGCTTCCATCGCTTGTGAGTTGCCATGACATAGACAGAGTGTCGGCCAAGCATGGACAGAGTTGGAGATTCCCGCTCAAGCTCTTCGTTGAGAACATCCTTGCGCTTAAAGCCTTGGATGATGACGCGAGCATTAGCTTGTGGCCCTTCTTTTGTAGGCTTCCATCGTTGTAGAAACCTGGCTGGGATCACTTCACCATCACGGGCCTCATCTTCGTTGACAGGTCGCCAAGCATCATGATCGAACCAAACCTGCAACGCTTTGCCTCGAGCCTCCTCGAACAGCTGCTTTTCTGCAGGAGTGAGTTTCTTCTCGCTGAAGACTTCAGCAACCAGGCTCTCATCGGCATTCATTTCATTGAAGCGGTTCTGGAAAGAGCGGTCATCCTCTCCAACTGCAGGTAGGCCATCCAGAGTACGTGCATCGTTATAGGACTTCAAAGCGCTCTTCCTCAAGTTCTCGAAAGAGGCTGCACGTTCATCTCTGGGGATGGGACTCCGCGATCTTGCCCTGCTTTCATTTCTCTTTTCTGCTGTTGCTGTGGTTCGTGTTTCTGCAGCGGCGGCTGTTTGTGTGTCTGCAGCTGCCGCAACGGGTGTTTGTGGTTCTGTATCTGCAGCGGCGGCTGTTTGTGCTGCAGCTGCTTGTTGCTCTGACTTTGTCGTTTCTTCGCTTGTTTGTGTGTTCTGTTGTCCATTCATGTTGTCATCTTCTTTCGGCTCAGGCTGCTCATTCGCCATTGTTGGAGGCGATGTAGCTGACAACAAGGGCGCCTTTGCATTCGAAAAGGTGGGTCCGGTGGCAAGATCTAAAAATCGGACAGGACCCTGCACAGGAATCAAGGCATTGCGGACTCGATCACAAACAGGTTGTCTGAGAGCAGTTTCCGGCATAGCGTCCAAACGGGCCAGTCGCTCAGCAGGCACTTCTGCTCGAACATGCTCAGGGGCACAGCGAACCAAGCTGCTGCCGTGGGCCAACCAATAGACATGAGGTCGGAGAATGCCGTCCTCAGTGGTGCGAGGCTCAATTGCGTACACGAGTCCAGGTCCGCGCCATCGATGCGCGTCAAGCTTGGTCTCGGGAGAACGCCAGTAGAATGCATAATCTCCCAGCTGAAGAGGTTCAAGCTCAGGCCGTGGTCGTGACAGAATGGAGCGCTTGAGGAGTGCATCATGATTTGCTTCGTAGAAAGCTTTGGATGCCAGATGCCTCAATGATGCATGATCTTGCTGAATGGCCTCGTGCACATCAGGTCTAGTTGGTGCAGGTTCATCGATGAGTCCACCACTGGCTGGATTGTAGCCAAAGACCATTTGAGCGGGTGATGATCCATGCACGTTCCGAAGGCGATTCCTTTGACTGCAGGCCATGCGAACGGCATCAGCAAGCTCCACATTGGGTTCACCTTGTTGCATCTTGTAGAGCTGAAGTCGGCGAACTGCATGCAAGCGCTCGACTGCACCCATCCTGTAGTGTGCCTCCTTGGGAACAATGATGAGCTTGATGCCATACTTGTCAAAGAACCTCAGATACTGCTCACTCATGTGGGCTCCAGAGGCATCAGTTCGAAATTTGCTCGGAGGTCCAAAAGGATGGATCCATTGTTCCTCAAGCACTTTCAACTCACATTCTTCAGTCTCTCGCTCCACCACTGCATTGACCTCATACTTGGTGAAGGTGTCGAGGATGGCCAAGATCTTTTTCTTCTCATTGTTCCATTTGACATGGAAGATATCAGCTTCAAGCATCTCATTGAAGTGCGAAGACTGGGGCAATGAACCAGGCTTTGGCAACTTGCTCATGAGGTGTTTGGCACAAACATCGCAACGAAAGTCACGAGCGCACTTGATGATGGAGTCGTCCATTTGTGCATCCCTCATGGCTTTGATCAACTTATCGTTGCCAGGATGTCCCAATTGTTTGTGCAGCTTTGTCACCACCGAAAGAGCTTGTTTGCTGTGACTCTTCATGAGCTTCTTTTCTTCCTCGGTGATTCCGGAAGTCTCTGTGGTCTTCTGGGTCTTCTCATCCATATTGACATCCTCGGAGACGAAGATTTGAAGAACTTCACGTTGTCTCCAGCGACGTTCCATGGAGGCCATGATGGCATTGGCTGCACACTTCACGAATCCAGGTTCGTAGTTTTGCATTTGTTTCAAACTGCGACTCTTGCCATCCATGTTGACGTGGTCATAGCTGGAACATGTGCACGGAAGGTTGAGGGCCTCATAGGTTTCATCATCATTCGTTCTCAATCTGGTAGGCTTCTTCACCTTTCCAACATAGTTGCCCTGTTTGTCATAGTAGCACAGTCCAGTTTGGCATCTGTTGCACACGGCGTCATAGCAGTTGTCAATGCTGTTCAATGCTTTGGTGTCCCAAGAAGCGGCATGATGTGGTTGTTCAACTGCAAAGCCGGAGTTGACGTCATCACAGATGTCACTAGTTTCCTTGACCATCATAAGGTGTGAATTCTCTTCCACATCACGCTGGTTCATCAAGTTCTTCATCTTTTCGGGAGTGCCACAGTTCAATCGTTGAATGGTGCTCCATACACGACATGGCGGTGCCATCCAAACATAGTGTGGTTTCACCCTTCTCACAAGCTTCTTGAAAGCCTCTCTGACTTTTGGAATGCTGAAGTCCCATTCTGGAAGTCCGAAGGTCGATACCTCAACATGAGGATAGTTCTTTGCCAGGTAAGTGGCAATGTTGCCCTCATCGACATACACCTCGAAGAAGATCAGCTTCTTGCTTTCATCAATTCGTGCTCCGATTTGATCGAGGATCTTGAAAGCTTCATCCTGTTCAACTTCAAGGAGCACATGGTCATCACAATTCGTGGCTTCAGATTCCAGGATCGGCTCAATGGCAAAAACGTCATTGTTGTGGAAGATCTCCTCAGTGATGAGTGCCATGTCCTTGGTGTCACCATCAAAGTCCAGGAGGTTGAGTAGATAGTGTCCTTTGGCTCCTCGTGCCGGCTTGAACCAAGGAGATTCACCAATCTTGAGCTCATTGGTTTCATAGTTTTGCTTCACCTTCCAGTCCTCGAGAGTAGGGCGAGCGAGCAGGAAGGGCGTAGGTCCCGGCACGACAGAGGCACAGATTGGAAGTTGCTGACCCTTCACCGTGGCCATGAACTTTACCTCATAACTCGATCGAAGAACTTCTCCTCCTCCGAACTTGAAGTCACGCACCTGAGGACGAGTTTGGATCTTGAGGACATCATCGAAGTTGCCTTCCTCAAGCCATTTCTTCCAGACTTCTTCTCCAACGATGGTGCGTGTGGCTCCAAAGTCAACAATAGCCATGCCAGGGCCAAGCGACACGAAGTATATCTCCTCCTCATCGAAGTGGCATAGTGGTACATCATCTTCCACCATGGTGACTTGTTCTTCAGGAACTTCTTTTGCACCTTGGGCTTGTACTCTATAGCGTTTGAAGCGAGGACCATGACTGGATGTTGATCCTGACAGCGTTGACTTGTAGTCAGAACTTGAAGTGGTAGTCGACGCTGAAGATGGTGTATAGGGCTTTCTCAAACCAGCCATGGGTCGTCGTTGTTGAGGCGGAAATCGTCGTGGAGCTCCTTTTCCTTTTCCTTTTCCCTTTGAGGGTCTTGACTTGCTCTTGCCTTTGCCTTTGGACTTTCCTTTCGAACCGTAGCCATCATATTCAGGTCCAATGGCGACAATGGGGTAGAATCCCCTTGAGAGAGCAAGTTCCTTCATCCTCCTCCGCGAGTCCACATAGGAGATGTAGGCTTCATCCATCACGTCAGCTGCCTCCTCCAAATCCTCAGGGATTTCATCTTCGAAGCCTTCCTCCATTTCATCTTCATAGTATGTCTCATACCAATCCTCTTCATCATCCATGTAGAACTCCTCGTCAGGGTTGACGTCGTCCTCAACCATGAATCCATCATCCTTGACTGTCTTGGTGTTGGAGGACAAGTCACGAGGATTCGGCTTGTGGTCGCCGCCGAAGACTTTGAGCAAGGCTTGATGAACTTGATCATACTTGAGCTCGCCGTTGCAAAGACTCTTGATCTGGATGTGTCCACTTGGGCACACCAGACCGTGTGAGCAGGTGCCAACCAGCTAAAAGCGGTGGGATCTCGATGCCAATCTCCCGGAGTTTCTTCAACTGAGTCTTGTGGCGAATCAAGTAGGCCTGCATTTCTTCTCCCCGGCTTCTCATGAACAGCTGAAAGAAATCTTCACAGCGTACGGGGACCTCAATCTCCTCTTCATACTGGTACAGGCCGTCCAACAGCTTCAACACGGGCTTGAAGGGTTCCGTGTTCCGCTCGATGTCATTCAGGTCGAGCTGCTCTGAGGCTGCGTCCCAAGCCAAGTTCTTGAGAAGGCTAACCACCAACAAAGCTCCTTCGACTTCTGCATCCTTTGATCTCCTGCGGCATTGGAGGGCAAAGAGTTCCAACCTTTTTCTAAAGCTCCTGTAGTTGGACTGGGTCAGGTCGTCGGCGATGGGAGCGGCTTTCGCCAAGCCACTGTCGAGTCCGCGGTATCCACCAGCTGCTGCCGAAGAAGCGGCTCCATTGGCTCTCGATGGAGATCGTGTCCCTTCAGGCTCAGGTGTCCATCCATCTCCTTCAGGTGGGACTTCTTGCTCGCGGCGTCGACGTTGTTGTCCACCACCATTTCCTGCCATAGTGGCGCTGAACACGATCTTTGAGATCAGGTTACCTTTAAACGGTAGGAGGATGCCAAAGCAGTCTTCAATCAAAAGGGTCCACCTCCAAGATCTTTCCGAGGATCGTGTAGCGCTCCGCTACCAATCTCAATCGCAATGGTGGCAACCGAAGTCCACAAAGCGTCCAAGCAACAAAGTAAAGCGCACCTTTATGGCTGCAAGTGTCGAGGTCGTAACGCGGTCGGTTCAAGGGCCCTTCGGACAAAGATGCGACGGAAGTCGCTCAACTGGAAAACATGACACCTCATGACAGGTGTACAGCAAAATGCATTCGCATGTTGACAATATATATATATATATGTGTGTTTTATCTACACACATTTCTCCCTTTGGATCCATTTGGGTTCTATACCTTATGCATGCCCGTGTTGCTAATTGACATTCGACTTGTCCATTTGTCCACTGGCTTCGGTCCAATTTCAGCCATGCCGCCATTCCGGCGCTCGGTGTCTGCCAGCATCACCGTTCGCTCAATGAGAGCCTCACGTCGGCTCCACAGCCGCAAGAGGTTCCCTGTTTTTGCTCCGTGACGCGTACAGGGTGTCCGGGGATGGGGTGGATCAAATGAGAGACTCTGCAGTGATAGGCTCTTGGGCCTTTTCCTTCGAGCTCGTGAATTCGACGAAATGTGAAAGCGATGGAATGTGATCTCGCTCAGGAGGTCGCTCGTGCATGCTAGTAGCTAGCAGTGAAAACGGGTGCTATGCAGCTAGAGACATGTGGTTGCGGGATACGGTGCCACCTGTGAAACAAAAGATACTTTTTGAAAACAAATTAACAAACAAAGCGCAAACATGAGCACAAAAAAACAAACGGTTTGCGTTCAAAAACGCCGGTTCAGGGGTTTTTAAGAAAGTTTCGAAATTTGTGTTGCCAAATCAGTTTTTCAATTTCTTTTAGAAGCGGGCCCCGAGGAAAATCACTCGAATCTGCATGGCCGCGCTAGCTCAGCGCTAGCTTTTTGGCTTCTAGGCAACCAATGGTGTGACCACCACATGGGTGGTGAGCTTTCCTCGGAAGAAAGACCGAATCTGCTCGCGGAAGCTTCAATGTGAGGCAGAGCGAGCGCTTGTTGGTGCTTGAGCATGTTATTGGCAGATTTCTTCACGCAACACCTTTCCCCGTCATTTTTTGGAGCAACAACCCACTAACCATAATCTGTTGGAATCAAGGCATTGTGCCAGCAGAATTCCGGGAAGAGCAAGGACAACTTAAGGCGTGAACCTAAATGGAACTAAGGATTGTCTTTGATACAAAAACTTGAACCTGCCTGCAGGCGCTCTAATACTTAAGCCTACCTGTGTCTTCAACAACATAAAAGCCCAACATGTTCACGTGTGTATATTTTAAAAAATAGATTTCTAATTATCGTGCAGTATATCGAAACATGTCACACCTTCAACCTGACGGCGTTTTTCTGCAAAATGCTGCTTCCATTGGAATGACAAACATTCCATGTTGGCTCTGGAGCCAACACCCGTGCTTTCCTTTCAAACTGGTCTAAGTGTCTTTGCCTGTCCCAAAAGCATCCGATTTCTTACCCCATGGTACCCCACATACGAATCATTTGGGGCCGCATACCACCCCAAAGATGCACCCAAGATCCACGGCTGAAAGTCGACACCTTGAGATGCTGAAAGTCCATGCCTCGGCCAAATATTGACAAAAAAAAAAGAAACAGCGGTCAAAATGGCCGTTTTGGGCTTTATCTTCTCTCAGTCTCTGCTGTTGTTCTTGATTTTTTCGCATGCTCTTAGAATTGAACAACTTGCAACAACATGACAACAAGGGAGGTGGTAGGGTGCCACAATTGCCACAACCAGAGCTAAAAGAAACATAAGAAAACAATGGCAGTCTTGGACAGACCATGGCACCCGCCAACACCTTGGTTGTTTTGGCTCCCAACGCCGGCTTGTTCGGCAAGGGCCGTCTATGTCATGTGCGAACCCGCCGTGCCCGCAACATGAAAATCCCAGGTGGGTTGTGCAGTGCCCACTTGCCTAGGTGTCCACTTACAGTACTTTGCGAGTAGAAAAGTCATGATATGTCATAAATATATGTCTCCGAATCCCAACATCTTCTGACTGTTGAGGACACACACAATGTCCACTATGGATCACCATGGCACCCCCATTGACTGCCTCCCCCACTGAGTTCCCGGCTGATCCGATCCAAGGCGCTTTGTTGCAAGATGCACAACTGCTCTGCATCGGCAAGCCCTGTGTCAGCAGGCGGCTCTCTTTTTGCAGACTTCGCTTTGCGCCGGTTTACCCAAGAGCTGCCTCACCGATGCAAAGAAACATTCAAGAGCTCTCCCACTCAGTGGGTATGCAGCTCTGAACTCCGAACAGTCTCTGGGGCAACATGTCAATATTGTCACCCGCTTCTTCAGCCCTGCTGAGTCTGGTGCCCTTGCTGCCCCCATCTTTGTCACTCCCCTGGCGCTGGGGCTCTGGGCGCAGGGCCTCGTCCTCGCCTGACGATCAGAGAATCGCATGGCGCATGGCGACCAGTCGCCCGCCAAAACCCGCATGACTTGGAATCTGCTTTCTGTGAAGTGCGGCGTGGTGTGACTGTATTAGCATCCTACTTGGGTGATACTTCTATCTCTACCGCAATGTTCTATCTTCCCCCTCTGACCATCTCCCACCCCGCACTTACATTCTGTGTGTATGCCTCGCCTTTGGACTTTGGCCGGACTGGATTGCGCAGCTTGGCCGCCAGGCCAGGGCCTGGGTTTGGAAAGCTGAGAACTGGTTGGGGCGGTACCGGTACAACCGAAAGACTGGAAGTCATATCAGTCTCTCACTCCAGTGATCTGGTACAGTCGTGGGACCCATGGAGGAACTGAAGTGTTACAGCTAAATTCTCAGCATATCGCAAAACCTCAATCTCAGCAGGTCAAAACTGGCGCTGTATATAAATCGAATTTACTGCCGGCATGTAGCCCCATTTAAAATTAGTTTCAGCGAGACTTGTATGTATATATACATTGTAATTATACATTATATATATATGATTATAAATTATATATGTATCATTCTTCAACAACCCCATCACCGAAATTCCGATTGTGAAACTGCCTTCAATAATAAGACTACAACATTCATCAGCTACACCGTCACCAAAATTCCTAGTTATATATGCCTCCATATTACCTCCGTTTTGATAATCCTTCTTCAGCAACCCCATCACCGAAATCAACCTTACTACAGCACTCATATCTTGAAAACTATTCTTCAGAACATCCCCGACATTCCTCTTATGTCATGTCTCCCTTTCAGCGAGACTTGACTTACATCATTCTTATGTCCAAGGACCCCAACGACCTTGGCGCAGCTTCATACGCCTTAGAACATCTTAGAACCAGGTGCCTGGGGCTTGCAATAATTCCCAACAGCTTGTTCAACTGGTGTCCTTTGCCATGCTTCTGCAAACAAAATACGTTTAACATATTTTTGAACCAGGACGTCAAGGAGGCAACCTCATCAGGTCTCCAAAAAGCTGCTGAATCGATGAACTGATCAACTTGAAGAATGCAAGTTACTGTCTGAGGGTGCTGACGGCACAGGGGTTCCAACCAGGGACCTGATGGTGGCGCATGCTGCAAAAGTGGGGGGGTTCAACGGGTTCAACCTTCATCTTTGGGCGGCAAAAAGGGCTCCCCAAGAAGAACTGTGCACAGCGTACACTGTTGTGGCATTCTTCGCGGTGTGTGGGGTGAACAAGAATTAGGAAAAACTTGATCTGCATGGCATTGGCGCTTCGACAGCAATTTTGTAGAACCCAATCCTGCTATCGCTTCAGCTGCGGTAGCCCCTTTTGTCTGCTGCGGTTCTAGTCGGACTATGTCGCATCCCACCAGGCACCTTTGACACCAAACAAGCCAGGGAAGGCTGCCTTTTGGCAATGCCTTGTCCAGGGCTCGTGCATGGTCGGACTTTGGAACTCCAATCCCCGCGGAGTCAGAGCATTCAGGATTCAACTTCACAAAATGATACAAGCAGTCTGGAAAAAGGGGCTACTGATGGCTACTGGGCTACCCGAAAAGAGCGATTTACAGTTAAAAGGTTCAACCACTTTCTTGCGTCGGGGATTGCGAGCGTTTCTCGGGATTCGTGGCATTCGGCTTGAGCGGCCAACAAGCTCCGGCAGTGCTGGTCACCACCGTATCTCACTTGAAACTGCAGTCGCTCCAACCTCAGTCCGCGCTGGAGAGAGGTGTGCCAAAGCAAAGCATCAAAGTGCTACCAAAATATGGAAGGATATGGAAGGTATGCAACTGTCTTCCATACTACACCGAAACAGGAATCATGATGACTCCACCTTCTGAGAACTCCAGCTCCTTCCAAAAGTACCATGCAAAAGGGTGTGCAGCTGAGCCCCAGAACTTCGTAGAGCGCAGCCTACTTCGCCCGAACCTCGATTCGCGCGATTCGGCGACCGGCCATGGCTGCAAGCACAAGTCTGAGAAATTGCCTTCTACTTGGGGACGAGAATTGCAGAATTGCTTTCACAGTGGGCAGGAATGCCGTGACAAAGCTGCCGTTGCCATCTGACCAAATCGACATCATTGCCGTTCAGTAGCCCAGACTTCGCCATCACTCCACACCATTCGATCAGCACCCGGCTCATATTTAGCCTCCACGCAAGACAAAGACTGTGGGACAACGTGGGCATGTCTACCTACTCGGGGGAGCTATAGTTTGGCAATGTGTGGCACCTTTGGCTTCCAAAAGTAGAGCCCACACCCCTTTTTTTGCAAGGGAGAGCACATTGCTTGCAAAGCACCACGTGCAGAAAGTCAGCTCAACAACTGAGATGTGCCATTAGTGCAGTGTTCTGCTGGACATGCTTGCAGTCATGACCTTGTGGACAGCACCATTCAACGTCATCTCGAAGGAACCATCTGCAGCCAACCTTCACAGAAACCGCTGGGTGTCAACCAAAGCTCGCCGTGGTCATGTGGATGTTTGATTGATCAAAATCCCACCGTAACGGAGACTTAGAATCATCCTGGATTTACATGGTATGTGCATGGTGAGTCGGAGAACCCCCAAAACACGCACCGTGTGGACTTGCATTCCCAACGGCCTGAGCTTGGACTGGGAGAGGTTGAAGACTTTGTCCCAAACAATTGTTGCTCCAATGATCTCACCTGGGAGACGAGGTGAAATTCAAAGTATACTCTCGACTAGTGACAAAGGAGGTGTAAAACGTGTGGTGGGTTTTACAAATCCTTTGTCATGGGTCTTAAAGCATTTTTGAGCAAGGTACACAACTCCTATGTCATGGACTTTAAAGTAGAGAAACACATCAAAACGTGGTTACACAAGAATAGCTTGATTTAAAAAAAACACAGCAAGCTGCCGGAAAAGATGAATAAATGACGTGAGATAGGAGTTGTAAGTACCAGGAGGCATGATGAAACATGATGAGCAGGCCGATTCTTATGTCATTTGTTCTGTGTGCATCAATTCCCCTCCCTCCCTGAAAAAAGTAAATAAAATGCTTGATCATCAGCTGGCGACAATTCCCAAGTCATGAGGCTTGAATCAGCAACTCTGCAATTTTTGTGTTCCCAATGACTTAGGAGCACACAAGTTCTAAGTCACCGGTCGGTAGTATAAGTGAGACCCAAAAAAAATGGGCGATGATGGGCGCGAAAGGGTGGAGAAAGGATGGAAAAAAAAGAGATCCCAAAAATGGGTCCAACTCTACCCGTCTAACAATATGACAATATGCTTCTTTCCACGCCGAAGATGCCAAGGCGCCCATGAGTTGTGATTCGCCATCCGTTCGCCATGTTCCTTGAAGCTTTTGGAACTCAGGTGGCACGGGCACCTGCAAGCGGGCAGGTTGCGTTTGGGGTATGGTCACTTCTCATCTGGTTGAAGCAAATTAATGCCAGTCTCCCGTCCTTCTTGCCCTTGTCCTGCGCAATGGCAAACTGCAGAATTGGACTTGAGGCATGATGGGAGATACAATATGAGAGCCTTTCGCATATTCTGACTGGCAGTCCGCCACATCCACATAATCTTCTGGTTGTCGAGGTGTCTGCTTGAATACCTCCTGTCAAGAAGTCAGGAGGCATCAGCTCAACCAGCTATTGAAAACAGGAGACGGCAACCTTGTAGTGCGTCAGTCACATGTACACTGATCAAGGAACATGAAGAACAAACCGGCACGTTTGTTTGAAGGAAGAGCTGTTTCAATTCGTGAATGTTTGGGTGCAGCTCCTCTGCTTTGGGGCCGGCACATTGGCAGTTTGCACCCATGTCGTGGCTCCTGAAGAATGGCACAAACCACCAGACCCGACAAGCAAAGGCGTGGCGACACATCATGTCACTCATTGGCGATTGGGCAGTTGGTCCTCACTTGCGGCTTGGCTTCCCAGCCCACAGGTGTGCTAAAGAGCCAAACTTCGGACTGATCTTCCACGCAAAGCCAAGTGAAACAAAATCCAAAGCATCGCTGCATTGCATCTCGCAGCTAACGTTTCCATGGTCAACCTCGCCAGCTGGCATACAGCAGCTGTTCATCTCCATCCAATGAGATAATCGTCTCCAAGTTGACCTCGCCTATGCCAGCTTATGTGCATATCCAGACATCTAGGGCACCGGGCGCCAGGGCATCTAAAAGGCTTTCACTCTCCTTGGACACCTCCAACTGAACGATGCGCTGTCGCGCCTGACCCGGCGAAGTCGAACAGGACCAGCGCGGTCGGTCCCTTTTTTCGAAGGAACCCGTGAGCACCGGTACCCGTGGAGCAAAGGAGCACCTAGCGTGAAAACACATGGTAAGAGCATGTAAAAGCCATCTTGAGCCGGAGGGTGCTGGATAACTGAAAGGGAGCATGAGAGGGGAGAGCACGCCAAAGGACAACTGGCCGGAGCATTCTCGCACACCGCACACGGTTCAAGTGTTTGGTGGAAGACTTTGGAGTGGAGTGGGTTTGAACACGAGTGAGTTCGGGCGCCGGGCAAGTTTCGAAGGGTGTTAGATGTTCTGCTTAGGGATTCAAAAGGTTACGTTTTGGATACTGGGAAGGTTGCACTTCCTGACTCTGGTGTAGGTTTCTTGACTTCGTTTTCTCCCGCTTTCGAGCGGTTTCGTCCCTCCGTACCTAGTAGGGTGGTGTTATGTGGTGTTTTGACATTTTGGGACTGCTTGCTCCCAGCCTAGATCTGATAATGTCATTGTTCACTGACTGTTACAGGTAATAGGACAGACCCGATATACGCTATATGTATATATTATACATGTGTGTGTGTGTGTTAAGAAGGTACTTCTGCTTTGACTTGTAACATTTCGATAGATTGGCTTCAAACCATCTGGGTAGGAGACCACCCCCGTCAACGGCGAAGAAGACATCGGACGCGCTGAAGACGGTGACTCGGCACCCGGCTCTCTTCAGCTCGACACAAAGGCGATTGATTTCTTCCTTCAGCTTCATGGTGTAACCTCAGGGACTCGCGGAAAACGGAGATGGACAATCGTTCGGAACTTACGGAACCCAGGACCTCTGCCCAATCTGGTATCAACTGATCACCCGTATCCAACTTCGGACCTCCGATTTCCAGATGGTCTCAGTTCTCACCACCAAACCCTTGAAACTTGAAACCACAAATGTGGCGAAATGAAACCACCTGGGATGGCCACGGATCTTCTGACGGTGATTCACATGCCCAACCAGCCGGGCATGCTGGTCAGACACCTGGCCACAAAACAAACACATCCACAGCTCTCCGTAGAGCTGTGCTCCACAGCTGTCGTCTTTTCCGCAAGAGCTCCAGCAACCCCACTTTGGGGGTGTGAAATGGCCGTCACTGCCAGGGACTGGCAGGCCTTCCAAGGGAGCCATATGAACGGTATTTGGAAAAAATGCAGGAGGTGGTTGATATACGGATCCGGATCTTTGATGCCAAAATCACCTCTAACTGAATGCGCTTCTAGTCTTTGTGCCAATCTGCATTACTGTAGAAGTCCTAGTCACCCAGCCCCATCCCAAAATGCATACCAAATTATCAAAAATGACACGTTACTTTCCTAACAAATCTCGGTCAGAAAAGGAAACTTGATGCTACAGGATTCTTTCATGTTCTTCCTCCAATCTGTCAAGGTTCCATCACATCTGAACTCTGGACATCTTCAGGTGGCTAAAATTAAAGCAATTACCTGGGTAGCCTTTACCCGCTTAAATGCCCCTCATACTGCGTCTTTGGGCCAGCACCTGCCTAGGTTTAAACAAGATGCCGCATGCATCGAAAAGGCACAGGACAGGACTTGCGGGAAACTTAAAAACTTCTTTCAGTTCTGGGTCAGCCTTACAAACACAACGCTTTGGCGCGTTGGCGCCGGCGCCTCTGCGGCATAGGCTGCCAGGGCCTGCAAGGCCTCCGCGGTCAGTGCCTCGGCGGCATCCAGGCGGCCCAGCAGTTCGTCACAGCCTTGGATCGGACCAACCGGCTGGAACCACTGGTACTTGGTGGAGGGGATTCGGAGTTGTTGCTTTTGGCCAGACAGATCTGGAGGAAAAGGGATTTCAAATGGACACCGTCTTTGCGAAAACCGGGCAGCTTTGTTCTGCGACTGCCTCTGCAGAGTCTGGCCAAGGCCAACGTCTGCCTGACAGGTTGCTTGCCGCAAACCACACCTAATCTATCTATATATCAAAATAATGTCTATGTCTATGTCAGGGTTCATGTGCCGCAAAGCATGGGCCTTCAGCACCTGAAAGCTGCATGGCTACCACCTGCGCGGACAGTCCCATCTCTCGAAGAGCATCTCGGTGCTGATGGAGGTCAGCAGAAAGTGCGGAGAATTCGTGGGCCACAGTGGAAACTGGCGAACTGCACACCGTCCAAGCATTCAATCAAAGTCATGAGAGGCCGAAGCTACTAGTAACAAAGGGCATCGCTACTAGGAGCAAGGGCGCTACTAGGGCGCTCCTGGCCTTACTACTAGTAACAAGAGGCCGTGACGCAAGTGCCAAACATCGGGTTTGTGAGTTCAACCTCTGTCCCATCTTCGCTGGAAGCAGATCACTACTTTTGCTCCCACTGCATTTAGATGTTTTTGGCCTATTTTGGCCTGTTGCTCCAGCAGCCACATCGGGTACGTCCCCCGTCTCGTCTCCACCTCCGATCAAAAAATGCAGACAGGGCTGGAGTGACAAAATGCTCATCGATCATCCATCGTGAGAATGCAAAATGTCACAGCTCATGCAAAACATATTGTCTAATGAACTACTTTTAAGAAAAACCAATCCCTATCATTCCCTATCGATGTAATTACATGTAATTGCGATCTACCCATCCGTCTACAGTATCTATCTGCATATTCCTTTTTATCATTACGATTGGATGGCGCTGAAACCAAAGATCCATCGGCTCCCACTCCATCCCACTCCCACCTTGAAAACCGTGGAAGCGCTGGATGGCTGTCAGCAAACGCAGGCGTTTGGCTTCCAACAACTCTGAGGCTTCTTCCCTTCGCTTCATGTCACCACTGGCGGCTGCGCTGCCCATGGAAGGCTCCAAGAGCGAAAGGATCCGCTTGGAAGATGAAATCCAAATGACATGTGTCTTTAGAAAAAACAAAAACCTCTTATTAAAAACACAAAAAAGGGGGAAGTTGATGGGATCTCTCAAGATTCTAAAATCATAGGGCGTAACATTGTCGAACCTTCGTGTGACAAACACTTGTGTGCCCCAGCGAGATGGAGTAATGCATCGGAAAGATCACTGAGGCTTCTTTGGCCCTTGAGCAGCACAAATGAGCAAACGGGTGCTGTTCTCCAGGTGTGCCTACGCAGAACCCTAGGGCGTGCTTACGGTTCCGAGCCCACAGCTCGTTTGCCTACGTCGCCATGCTGTTCTTGCAGTGGATTTGTTGCTGCGGCAGCTGATGTTGATCCTTCCATCAGACTAATGAGGCTTGGCTTGAGGACGAGTCAGAATTACGAATACGATATGTTGCTGCTACTGCTACAGTATCGCTGCTGCTATCTGCATTCTCTAGCCAGGTTTACGGTAAACGTGGGCCTTACGGTATCACGAAACGCATTTTCGCCTACGGTGGCCTTACGCAGAACCGAACAAGTCGGTAGGAAAAAACAAAAGTGTTCTTGCTGGGCAGTGTTGGTAGTGAGTGGGGGTTCTTGGAATAGAGCGTGGACGCGGTTGGGCATTGGATACCAGCCATGCTCTGCGGTGGGAAGGATCTCACAAAAGTTGGGTGACTTCAAGGCATACTGTTTCAATGGATCTATGGCTGCTTATGGCTGCTTGCTGCACATGCCTATGACAAACAGAGTGCAACAAAATGCCACAACTACCTAGGCCCCGAAGCAGGCTGCCCGCTCCACTGATAGTATTCTATATGAATATAACCATGATCCGCTCCATGTCGAAAAACGGCTCCAAAAAATTAAGGACTCTTCGGCCCTTCTATTGATCACATAGGCTATAGGCAATGTGTGCTCAATAAAGGCAGATGCACCCGGTGCAAATCCTCCTCCATGCATGCGACAGCCTGGCCAGGGTGTGGACTTGGCAAATTGGAAAACTGCAACGCCCTGCCCATCCTTGTACTCAATTGATGCAGCCACTGTGAAGGTCTCAAGAACTGGCATGCACCTCTTTCAGACTCAAGTTCTCCGATTCCAAAAGCTCACAGTCCTGAGAGCCGTGAGAAATAGTGGCATGAGAAGGTAATCGAACATGCCACTGAATCTGGAGCCATATCTGCAAATATGCTCTTGGACTTATCTGGAATCAGACTGTTTTTTCTCTTCCGGTCCCTGACAGCTTCTCGGACCAACGCACCACGACTCGCAGGAGTCCTGCTTGAACTGTCGCAGCGAAAGGCAAAGCTCCCGGTTTTGCAGGCGCAGCTCAGATCCTTCGGGCCTAAGTGGATGGAACTTTCGACTGTCAGAGCTAGAAGACCACTTGGCTAGATGGCCAGCTAGCAAACTCAAGCCGCTCGGTGGCGTTCGGTGAAGAAATTGAGGCTTGTTTGGTCCTGGCACCTCTGCCTTGGGCCCTCGCAGGTCCAGCTCTTGTGCCCTGGCTCGATGAGTGAAGAGTGAAGTCACAATTCTGGGGAGGTGGGACACTAGTTGAGCAACTGGTCACACGAAGTATAATAGGATTGTTATCTATATAAATGCTACCCATACGGTATGAGACAGTGCCTGCGCAAAAAGTGCCGCACCACTGGCAAGAAGGGCAAGACCGTTCCAGCTCTTAGTCCACATGCAGTGGGCCAAACACCAGAAACGAGCCAGATAGGACCCTTGACCCTGCTCCATCAGCCACTCCCAAGCCTTGCGCACGCAAAAAATGACCGGCCGGTCACGGCGCGTGGGTCGACGCTGGTGGGGGTCTTCCGTTTGGCAAAAGAAAGGGACATCGAATCTGGACTGCAAATATGCCATCTAATTCATCTATGCCATTGGTGGGCTGGATGCTAGCTGCTAGGTCTTTAATCTTCCCATATCTTCCCCTTTCATGTCTTCAAGTTGTTCTTTGCTCTTGATGACTGGCATTGGCATTGGCTGGCAAGAAAATAACTTAAGGCCAAGGGGCTGCATCGTTTCCCTGCCAACGGGCTGCAACTTGCATCACTGCCTTGCGTCGGCCTTGGAACAGCATCCTGTGAAAACACATCAATATTTTTTTACATTTAGACTGTTGGTTTTAACACGGACAAAATGAAGCCAATCAAGAGTCTAAGACTACTGAAGGCAGTATCTCCCTGTCATTCGAATTGGCTAGGAATGCAACGCACAATGGCAATGTTGAAGGCAACGACAACAAGGGCGGCATTGGCACTGTTGTCTTACACTCCATGTTTAGCGGCCTACCAGTACTAGTACCTTCCCATGCAAGTTCGGCCAACTCAAGTCTCCAACCTAGCATGACCTCTGCGCGCTCCTTCCAGAGCCTCGGATGATCGGGACGGTACAGCTCTGCTGATCTTTCGTCGGAGTCCAATGGAGTTGGTCGTCGGGGAGGAAAGTCGTTGTCCAATTGGAGGTCCAACCTGGACGCATCGCTGATGACTGGGGGTCTCCAACCTCGCCGAAACGAAGCATCACTGGAAAAAGGCTCAACCTAATGGATTATGATTTGAGGTTTGTTACTGCCAACTTTTGATATCTACACGCAGTGCGGGGTCCACGGTTTCGAGACCAACAAACATGCGAAATGCCAATGGTTTGAACTAAGTTGTGGCCCCTCACGCTGCTTCTTGCTGGGCTGCCTGTGCAGAAACAAGGCCATGCAAAGCCACAAGGAACTCAGTCTAAAGCTGGGACAGAATTCAAGGCCTCCAATGCCACGGACGTCTCTTCCACTTCAAGCTTTAGTGCAGCTGAATGTGCCTGCAGCAATGAAAACGTCCGTCTAGTCCCCTCTCTGTACATACAAAAGTCCAGCACCAACTCTGCAGGCGTAGGCGTAGGCATGATTTCACATTTCTCCCGCAGACTGCTCGCCAAAGTCAACAGCTGCAACAGCAAGGCGCGCTCTGCATGTGTGGAGCGGTCGTGCACCTTGCAGTGCTCGCGAAAATGTTGCGGCTTGGTTGTACTGATGTTGCCGCACCCTGCATGAGCCCTTGAGAACACTTTGAGGTTGTCACATCCTCACATTTTCTCTGTTTCTGCCCATCAGTGCATTGACACAGCCGCTGCCCCATCCTTTTGGCCGAAGGTGCCATGAAGATTGGATGCAAAGCATTGCTAGCAGCCTCCGCCTCGAGCTTCGGGCAACTTGGCGCCTTCTGGGAGGTTCCTAGTAGCAAGAAGCTACTAGTAGCTCCTGGCATTTCTACTAGGAACAAGAAGCTACTAGTATCAAAGGGCATCGCTACTAGTAATAACAAGGACGCTGCTAGCGATGGCCTCCAAGTGTCGATCAGTTCCAGCTGAAAGCCGTTTTAGATCGTTTTGGTACGAAAGTCCGTCCGGGTTGCCGATGGGTCCGTCCGTCCACAGAAATGTCGGCGTGTTTGGCACGAAATGAATAGGACATGGTACATCTTCCAAATGTTTGTCCATCTTCCCTGCCAAAGGTAGCACATGGTGCATGGCCTCTGCTCCAATCACTCTCTGAACAGTGCTGTGGGAATTCTCCGCCTGCACAACTGGGGCTCCTGTTCTAAATCGATCGATTTGTTTCACGACTATGTCTTAATTGATTCCAGTCTTAATTGATTCCAGCCTTGCATTAAAAACAAGAAGTGGAGTGGACATGAAAATTAAAAAAACTCGCAGTGTCTGGCTTTTCCGTTGGACGCCTTGAGATGCGCACTGCACCAAGCCACGATCGCCGTGGCAGCCACGCCATTGACCAGGGCAGCAACTTCAGGGTCCTCTCTTGCAGGTTGGAGGTGTTGGAGGCTGGGTCAGCTATGCGGTGCATTCAGTGTATGTCAACGTATGTCGGTGTATGTGTATGTATGCATAATGTATTATATATATATTTATCAGCGGCAGCGATGTGCTGACGCTCTCCGACACCCATTGGCCACTCTACGACATGTTCATAAACTCGTAAATTGTTCAATGTTCAAGTTACACCCAAAGAGCATTTCCAACCCAGCCAGGAGCTTGTTTGCAAAAGGCCATCCTGCGAGACTGCAACATTGATGAGGTCCAATGAGCTCCTGCAGGGGAGATCCACTAGTTTTGCTTCTTGAATTTTCAACAGGGAGCACGAGCATCTTCAGACAAGCACCATCAAGGACCCAAGTAGAGTATAGTAGAGTCAAGTAAGTCAAGTACGCAGCCAGCTGTGTATATAGTCCAAACATCTCAATCTGTGGCTCGCCAGTTCCAAGCATGCTAGCAGCTTCGGTTCCAACCGCGAACGGTCGACCTCTGCACGGCCTGCGAGCACACGGCCATTGTGCGCCAGCAAAAAGCATCTCCAGCACCACAGCGGTATGAGCTTCTCCCAGGCTGCTGTGGCGCCTGAGGCGGATGAAAACATCTCCCAAGCATACGCCAGGCTGCGCGAGGGGAACGAAGTGTGAGAACGAAGTGAGGGAAAAAGAGGCATAACAAGACTTCAAAATGCTTCAAGAACCCCACGGAGACAAGGTGGGTGGCTGGGCAAAAAGGCAGGGAAGATGCTTTCTGCATATGCGTACGGGGTAAGGTTCACCCGATTAGCTGGAGCTCAGTCAAGAAGCTCCAATAGAGGTTCTCGTAGAAAGCTGTCTGACCCGGTTGGTTCAATGCAGAGCTCATCCAACCTGATCCGGCAAAACATGCAACACCACGGAAGCGAATCACACATCATGCACAACCATCTCTGCATTGACCTGCAACAAGTACATGCCATCCACGAGAGTCATTCTGCTGCCATCTCTGGAGACTCACCCTTTTTCTCCTCGACGCCCTGCTCATCCGCGCATCCGAAATCCGCGGCATCGCCCTGCTCCGCCAGACTCGCGATCCGAAACCACCGCTCCGCCGCTCCGCGATCAGCTCCGAGGACGCTCCACTCATGCGGGTCTCGATGATCCTCGTAAGGCGTGTCTCTCATGGTCTGCATGACACGAGCCAAATCATTTGTGAAAATTGTTCACAGCGTCGGCAAAAATGGCTCAAGGGTTTCCATCTGGGCGGACGAGCACAGTTCTGACAGGCAAACTTTCAGCCAAAGAGTGGGTGGATGGTGCCCGAAAACGTCTTTGAGTAGTGCTTCCAACATGTTCATGACGCGATTGTTGAGCGTTCTTCGGTGGCATGCCCACCAACGAGCACAGGGCTACAGTATAACTGTTAAACGCTTACAATAAGATGCTTGAGTCACGGTAGCGGCCGTGTCTAAAGAATGCGTGCACATCTCGACATCAGAAACAAGAATGAGACCCTTCGATTGTTTCAATGAAAAATTGAAACACCACCACGCGTCCCCAACCCGCCAGACCCGACTTCCCCCCGAGCTGAGCAGGGGTGAGCTGAAGTCTTTCAAGAATAGAAACTGTCAAGAGTCCTCAGACAAGGTAGTCAGGTTAAAATGGTCACCAAAAATTCAAATATCCTAGGCCAGGTACAGTATGGTTTGAAGCTCAATGAGTACGAAGAGAGAAGGAAAAAACACAAAACCAACATAAACGAACAAGGTCCCAGTCCAAGTCAAATCTTTGTTTCCCTCGATGAGAACGAAGGGATGCGTCTATGAACGGAAGGCTGTGTAACTGGGTGTGTAGTCTCGGCACACAACTACAGAATTTGCTGCGGCGCTGAGCTGGGGTATCTGCCAGCAACGTTGAAGCGTAAAAGGCCAAACAATAAGAACCCGCAAAAACAAAAGGGAAGAACATGGAAGAACAAAGTGCATCATTGTTTACTCAAGGACTCAAGGCCACTGAGTGATGTCACTCCAATGATTCAGGGTTCCGATTTGAAGGATGTGACGTTGCTTTTATTTTGGGGTTGCCGGGCCGAGCTCGCGGGTCCTGGGCCTCGTCTCTCACACTCCCTTCCCTTCCCTTCCCTTCCCTTCCCTCATTCTTGTTCTTTCATTCTGCTAACCTAATTTTGTTTGATGTTTCTTCAGTGTTCGATGCGCGTTTTGTTTGGGATGCACCTTCTGATGAGTGTCCTGGTCCTGCTGGTTGTGCACCCATGCGCGTAAGGTCACGCAGCTCCCGTCTGAGAAAGTCACATTCCTGGATCAACAACCCTTTTCCACGGTCCGAGATGAAAGTGTCCAAGGGTCACTCTCTCGCTCTCTCTCTCTCTCCATACATACATCACATCACATTGCATTACATAAATTACATACATTGCATACACACATAATAAATGATTTAATTCAATTAGCTACATTATATACAACAATACACACGTACATGTCCTGTCATCTATTGTGGAAATTGAGGTCAAACAGTCAGGTGTTGGTGGAAATTGGATCTTCAAGCTGCTGGACTGCTGTAACTATATGACTGTAGCGAAATCAATTATATAACCTCCAAGGGGCACTCATGGCCACGCTGTAGCACTTAGACTCGGTGGCACACAAGCCGCGCAACTCCTGCACGATTGCTGCTTCCTGAGCATCAAGCACAAGTTTACATACAAGATCATACAAGTGGATGCGTCATCCTGCATGAGCGGCACAAAAGGTGTACGGGGAATATTGTGATTATTGTGCAATTGGGAAAACCAATCCCAAATCAAGATTCAGACAAGAGCAACTTGCCCAAACCGCCACCCAAATGAAGTGATGTGTAGGTCCGAGGATCAACATGGAGGGCTGCTTCCAACTCGCTGTTCTCCTGCTGCAGCTCTGACTGCCTTTCCTCATCCCCATCATGCTGTTCAAGGGCTGCCTCCGGAGCACATCTTGTGACAACCTCTGCGCAACGCAGAAAGCTGTGACTAATCAAAAGGTGTGAAGATCTGTATGTTCCTCTACCGGGCACTGGCATGTATCTCTTGCTAAACATGAGAGAGCGCCCATGGCCTTGCACTCATTCAGGACATGCGCAGCCTCCGCAGACTCGGACCTGGGAGGCTGGTTCCCACAAAAAGGGTACGACGAGAGGACCCCCAAAAACAGCCTCCAGACTCGTCACATACTACTATATACAGTAACTATATATATATAGTCATATATAAACGTATGGCCTCGCCAGGAATACAAGAATAACACAAAGTCCTGGAAGCGTCAAGAATGTACAGCCCCTCTGCGAAATCAGGTACAGCTTGCTCTTTGCTATACGTGTGTGGTGCCATCGAGGCGGCATCAAGGGCTCGAGACTCGCCCTGAAGTGGGCTCTACCTGTGGCGTCTGCTCCAAAACGAGCGCTACGCTGCAGTGTCCGGTGCGCTGTGTCTTTTGTGTTTGGTAGGTGACCTAGCTAGATCCCTAGCTCTGAGCTTCGCATGGTAGCGGAGCCTGCCAATAGTGCAGGCTTCGTTCGTTTCACACATGGCGAGTGGCTCCAGTGGTGGGAACACTGGAGATGGGGTAGACTTCAAATACCCTACCTGGGATGGAACCTGGGACAAGTGGCAGGAATATCAACTTCGAGTTGAACTGCGGGCAAATGGCATGAAGGAAGAGGAGCGTGCTTTGTTGGGACCTCGGCTGGCCCCGAACCTCACAGGACGTGCTTTTGACTCCATAGCTGAATGTGACAGAGAGAAGCTTCGCAAGCAAGAAGGCTGGAGATACCTTTTACAACACCTGGAGAAATCCAGGGGAAAAGAAAAGGTAGATCTTTTGGGAGATGTTTTCACTGATTTCTTTGTGAGAAAAGATGTCTACCGAAAAGAAGGTGAAGAACTAGTGGACTATGAACCACGTTTCCGGCAGCTCATTAGACGACTGGAAAAGGCACTTCGAGAATCCGGAGCAGAAGGCAAAATCCCATCGGAAGTCTTTGGCTGGTATTTGTTGAACTGTTGCATGCGAATGGATCCATCAGACGTTGCAAATGTTCGTGGACGAGCTGAATCCTACAAGTTGGAACATGTGCTGCATGCTTTGCAGCGTATGTGGAGCGGAGGTGGTCTTGCAGCCAAAGATCAAGACATGAAATCCAGAAAGGAAATGACTTCAGGACAAGCTATGATGATTGAAGAAGTGACCCATGAAGATCAGAACATGTTTCATGCTTTTGAAGAAAACGTTGACTCAGGAACTTGAAGAAGCTGCAGCCCAATACCATGAAGCTTTGACAGCATTTCTCGAGGACCCTGAGGAGACAGAAGTCTATGCCAATTTCCGGGATGCCCGGAAAGATATCGACCAGGCCAAAACACCAAGAGGATTCTATCCCGTCCAGAATTCGAACACTCGGACGACTTCTGGCATGCGACAAGGGAATGGCTTTGACAACAGTCGAAATCCGGATGCAAACAAAGACTGCATGCGGTGTGGACGTCGAGGACACATTGCAAGGAATTGTCCACAACGACCACAAAAAGGAAAAGGGTTCAGCAAAGGAAAAGGGAAGGTGCACTTCTCCGACATGAGTGAAGCCACGACTGTCGGGTACATTGATAGCATCTTCGAGGTGGACAAAACACAAGATTCGATCTGGGTGAATGGACAAGCTGAGTTGTCCATGAGAGGCAAAGCAGTGATCGACAGTGGTGCTTCCGACAATGTGATTGGAGTTGACACGCTTCAAGATCTGGCAGACCTCTATGAGGAACTCGGCTTTGCAGTAGATCAGGAATTTACTGTCAATAGAACGATCCACAATAATTGTGTGTACGGAATTCATCTGGCCCAGATTCACCCATAGAATCAAGAATCACCATGATTATATTGTGTATTTTATTTGTTTATGTTCTTTCATTTGTTATTACTTTATAATTACGGAAGTGATCACAGCAGTCAAGCACTGGGATTAGCACACCGCAATCTGGGCATTCTGGGGCGCGAACATGTTGTTGACGTTCATGCCGTCGACGGAGGAACTCCTCTCCTCTTAAGTGCTCGATTTCTCTATGAGATGAAGGCAGAGATACAGTAGCCTTTTGGGATGGTGTGGCAGTATTTAAGACCATGTCACCCTATGCTTTTCGACTGGAGCGCGGACCAGGCAATCATCTGTTGTTGCCTGTGACTGCCTTTGCTGGAAGAGAAGACCTGATCCAATATGTTCCTCAAGGAGCTGATGAAGCCACTGAGGGTACTGAGCGACAGCCATGTGTTGAAGCGAGCGAGCCCACTTCCAAAACTGAAAAGGGCGAGTCTTAGGGACAGCTCCACCAAGACCCCAATGGACGGTCTAGCATTTTGAATAGACTGAAGGTCTTGAGTGGGCATAGCTGTAGTATGTCTAGTGAAGAAACAAGAGTTCAAAGTTTTGAAGGACACATATGTGATCCTTCTGAGACTGCAACCAATTCGCAAACGTGTGCTGATGTTTTTGTGGAGCCCCTGAAGCTGATGACTCGGATTTCAAGCCGTTAGTTGATGGAATGACGGAACCTTGTGATGCACTCCATGCTGCTTTGCTGGAAAGTGTGAACCACCTTCATGAGTTTTCTGATGCGTGCAAGCTTGATTTGTTAGAGGTCTGTGCGCCTTGGGATGCTCCGTTGTCACAAGCCGTCAGGGAACTAGGAGGTAAGGCTATGAGCATAGGACACCACAATGGATATGACATGTCTACTAGACAGGGACTTCTTGCTGCTTTGAAACTGCTTAGACAAACGAAACCTAGATACGTACATGTCAGTCCACCGTGTGATCCCTGGACCGCTTTGCCAAATTGTCACCAGC